TAATTCATGATATTTGCTTAAAAACACTTTTGCCTTAAAAAGTATTTTAAAACTTTTCAAAGTACTGGTCAAGGTCTAAGTTAATGCAAAACATTTATTTTTTACTTGGTTACACTTCTTGACATTTCAGTTTTCTTGAAAGTTTTTCAAAAGCATATGAAACCAACATTGATATAAACAGTTCATTTAATATAACTTGGCACATGTGTTTTAAACTAGATTTTTACTTTATTGTGGATACTCTTATCCACAAAAACTGACCTACACTACTGTTCAAAAGGTTTGGGGTTGATTTGAAATAAAAGAATGCTTTCATTCAGCAAGGGCACATAAAACTGAGAAAAAGTGAACGTAAAAGACATTTATAATGTCACAGAAGATTTTGGTTTCAAATAAATGCTGTTCTTATGAAATTTCTATTCAAATTAGCATATCAGAATGATTTCTGAAGGATCCATGTGACACTGAAGCCTGAAATAATGGCTGCTGAAAATTCAGCTTTGTTGTCACAGGAATAATTAAATTTGATAATACATTAAGAGTACATTGTTTTATTATAATTTTGCTGTATTTTTGATCAAAGGAATGCAGACTTGGTGCGCATTTAATGTTTTAAAAACATAAAAAAATGTTAACAGTCCTAAACTTTTGAACCGTAGTGTATATATAAAATAAATATAATTTTTACACTGTTTGGAGGAGCATTAGAGCACTAAACTGTAAATTGTTTTTTATTAATTGTTTTTAAATAAAAAAAATGATTTCATTTTTAATTTGTTAAAGGGTTAGTTCACCCAAAATGAAAATCTGTCATTAATTACTCACCCTCATGTTGTTCCAAACCCGTAAGACCTTCGTTCATCTTCGGAACACAAATTAAGATATTTTTGATGAAATCTGAGAGCTCTCTGACCCTCCGTAGACAGCAATGCAACTGAAATTTTCCCAGGTCCAGAAATGTAGCAAGGACATCGATAAAATAGTCCATAGTTCAGTGGTTCAACCGTAATTTGACGAAGCTACGAGAATACTTTTTGTGCGAAAAGAAAACAATAACATAATTTATTCAACAATTCTTCTCCCCAAGTTACCGTCTTCCGCCATTTTGGAGAGTACCCCAGAACGTAATCAACGTTGTTTACGTTCAGTAGACAGCGCGCGCATGCTGCGCGCTTGCTGAACGTAAACAACGCTGATTACTTTCTGGGGTACTCTCCAAAATGGCGGAAGACGGTAACTGGATTGTTGAATAAATTATATTATTATTCTTTTTTTTTGCACACAAACAGTATTCTCGTAGCTTCGTAAAATTACGTTTGAACCACTGATGTCACATGGACAACTATTTTACCGATGTCCTTGCTACGTTTCTGGACCTGGGAACATTTCAGTTGCATTCCTGTCTACGGAGGGTCAGAGAGCTCTCAGATTTTATCAAAAATATCTTAATTTGTGTTCCGAAGATGAACAAAGGTCTTATGGGTTTGGAACGACATGAGGGTGAGTAATTAATGACAGAATTTTCATTTTTGGGTGAACTAACCCTTTAAGTAGTATGTCAGTGATTAGCATTGTTTGTACTCTCTCCACAGATTCAAACTCTCCACAGAGTTCTTCACCCTGCTCAAGCTCTCCGAATTCACCCATCCCTCAAAGTCGACCAAGTTCCCTTCACGTTTTGGGATCCAAGATTGGCCTCCGCTATAGCAAAGCAGGCCGCTGCAAGTCCACCAACAGTATTCCCCCCTCTCCCCTCGCCTGCAATCCCTCCTCACAGCCTCTGTCTCCACAGTGTTCTCCATCTTCCCTCGCCGGAGCTCCTAAAAGCCTCCACTCGTTTCATAATAAGATGATGTCCCCGCCGACCATCGTGAGACAGACGGTGTGTCCCCGCAGTGCAGAATCACCTCGTTCTCCACTGCTGAACAGGGTTCATTCATCTGAGAGGCCCTCCGGTGCCCAACATGGAGACAAAAAGGCCTTCTCCACTCGAAGACACACTGTGGAAGTTCCCCAGAGTGAAGCTGAGGGACTCGAGTCACAAACTAGTGACATTGCCTCAGGTTTTGTGTGTGTTGGTGACCATGCTAGACAAGGGTTGTACCTGGCTGGCCAACGAGCAAGGGACTCTGGCGGTGCGGTTATGAGGAAGCTAAACTTGTCTGAGAGACGAGATTCATTTAAGAAGCAGGAAGCTGTTCAGGAGGTCAGCTTTGATGACTCTAATGACAAGGAGGTCACAACATCTACACCAGTGCCATCTCATCCACGATTCAAAGCGGCATGGATCGGCACAACACAGGCGGAGGGAAGCTCTGAGACTTCAGCGAGGAAAACCGACAAGCTTGGATCCAAGCTAAAAGAACAGAATAAACCAGAGGATGACTGTTAGCCTTAGATAAGTCCAAAAAACTGTGAGACTCAGATGTATGGGTGCTTCCATTATCATTAAAATCATAATCAGAGAAAAGACAGGACTAGGGAGTCTTTGTTTAGTGTCATTTTCGTAAGTTAGAAGTCATTCAACTGCCAAACTGTCTTTTAAATTGATAGTTTTCTATAAAAGAAAATTCTGTCATCATTTTTTCAGCCTCATATTGTTGTAAACTTACATTCGTCTGTAGAACATAAAAAAATGCCTGTGTTGTTTTGGACCCCATTGACTTTCATTGTATGGACAAAAGCCATCTTAAAGGGATAGTTCACCCAAAACATGTTGTCATTTACTCACTCGTTCCAAACCTGTATGAGTTTTTCTTATGTTGAACATAAAAGAAGATATTTTGAAGAATGCTGGTAATCAAACAGTTGATGGTCCCCATAGATTTCCATAGTATTTCTTTCCCTACTATGGAAGTCAAAGGGGACCAACAACTGTTTGGTTCTTCAAAATTTTTCAAAATATCTTCTTTTGTGTTCAACATAAGAAAGGAACTTATGCAGGTGTGGAACAACATGAGGGCGAGAAATTATGAAAAAAAAATTCATTTTTAGGTGTACTATTGCTTTAAAATATTGCTGGCATTTGTGTTCCACCAAAGAAAGTCATACTGGTTTGTTATGACGTGAGTAAATGATGACAGCATTTTAATTTTTGGGTAGATTATACCTTTAAAAATTTGTTTTACCAGGTAGCACAATGAACTTTTGTAGATTTTGAAAGACGGGAATAGAAAGGTCATACAGTAGGATCGCTTTCTGAGAATTTGCACATATGTGGTCCTGCTGAGGTTCAATTACTGTTGTTTTTTCATTCTCATCCCTCATAAATATCAGTAATATTGTCATATAATGTCATGTAATGTCTGAGCGGTCAACAAAATGTAGTTATTATATGTTGACTAATATTATTTTTGCCATTTTGCAAGTTTGGATGCAGTCTTGTGTTCAGTCAGTCACACCCAATAATATTCCAGCACCTAAACAATGACTTGTAAGAAGCCATTTGGCCAATGTTGGCATTGTAGAGTATCATGTTTACCTGAGCATACTTGTTCTCATTACTTAGAAAGAACAAAATGGATTATGAATACTAATTTGGTGACAACTTTTTATTTATAATGTGTTGGATTCGGTATGTGTTCTAGCAGTGTTGTACAACTGAAATCATTTGACATGTAATCTTTAACAAATGGTGGCTCTCTGTCTTTCAGTGTTTTGTAGTCTGACTTGTGGAAATGTCTGTTCTCTTGAATTCACACAACAGCTGTATGGCATGTTTTTGTGAGCACCCTATATAAATGCCATAGTTTAAATCCGCACTATAGCCTTCTGAAGTCTTGACATCTGCTTGTTTGGTTACACTGAAATGATTCAGTTACGAGTAACATGAGCTTTCTATGTAATGGTTTGCTTAAACTGGATTGCTTCCTCATTCATTAATCAAAACTAAAGAGACAGAAGACGAAGTTTAGATACTTGCACTCCCAGTCTGACTTGTCTTTCTCTTCTTCTGTACTTCAGATTTGTGTGGCACTATTTCCTTGAGTTCACATACTACTTTCATTTACTTTTGTATGGTACTGTAGTGTTTTGTTTTAAGTTGAATTTGTATAGTTGATCCAGTTCTTTCCACAGCCATGGACTCAAAAAGATCCTAGACTCTCAACTAAATCCACTCACGCTCAATGTATTTGTAAAGTTTGGATTTAACCATGATTAAATGTGTACATAATTGCTGATAATCATATTTCAGTGGTTTCAGTGCTTTGACCATGCATGTTTTTCATACTTAAGCACTAGTGGCTTGTGGTATATTAACTACCTCCAGAAATTATTATAATACACTACCATTCAAATTAAAAGTTTGGGGTCTGTATGATTTTTTAAAAATCATATTAAGTTTATGCTCAACAAGGCTGTATTTATTTATGATCAAAATATAGTAAAAACAGTAATATTGTGAAATATTATTGCAATTTAAAATAACTATTTTAAAATATAATTTATTCCTGTGATGACAAAGCTAGATTTTCAGCATCATTACTCCAGTCTTCAGTGTCACATGATCCTTCAGAAATCATTCTAATATGCTGATTTAATTCTCAATAAATATTTCTTATTATCAATGTTTAGAACAGTTGTGCTGCGCGATATTTTTGTGGACTTGTTTTTTTTCAGGATTCTTTGATGAATAGAAAGTTCAAAAGAACAGCATTATCTGAAATATAATTTTATTGTAACAATACAAAAGTCTGTCACTTTTAATCAGTTTAATCATTGAGGAATAAAACCATTGATTTATTTAAAATAAAATTACTGTCCCCAAACTTTTACATTTTATATATTTTGTATAGAGTTACATATATCCCATATATTTTAATGACATTGGCCTGCTGCATAAAATAATAGTGTTTGAAATTGTTAAATTACTTAAATGTCTCGGTACTCTGATAAATGATAAAACAAGCCTAATAGGCAATTGAAAGAATAGCGTAATTTGAGATGGTTATTTATTTTTTTATCACTTGTAGGTCTACATTTTTTATGAACGGGTTTTTACACTACCTCGCTTAACCACAGCAGGATGGCGCAATAGGGAGTGCAGGAATGATGAACGCTTCATGTGTTAACCGAGATTTAGTCTTTCGGACGTTTTCGGCTCATTCCGCTATTCTCCGTGCCGCTTTCTCTAGTTCTCACGCAGTCCTGTCCTGCTCCGCGCTGCGCTGAGCTGGAAAATGGCAGTTCGGCAAGTTGAAAAGATTCGTGCGGAATGAAAAGGAAAAAGAAATCAATCCTGTACTCTGCTGAGGGAGTAGATGGGAGTTGAAAACCTGAGTCCGGCCGAGAGTTATCGCACATTTATTTGCACGCGCGAAAGAAAACCGTCAACGCTTTTGCAATGACTTGCCACGGGTAAGTTTTCCCAAGTTTTGCACATTGCGTTACTTTACTCTACTAAACAGGATGGCTAGCTAGCAGCCTCCAAATGTGGGGAAATGGTGGAAAAGACGCGAAGTGTGCTGCTACGACATATAAAACGCGGACTTCTTTGCTTCTAACGATAAGCCAACGTTTTATTTCTTAGCAAAATTTTGAAGAAGACGTTTGCTAAGATCGCGGATATAGTGGGCGACAGAAATGTGCAGACCGATATGCGTTTGGTCTGCATGATGCAGAAGCATGTTCGCCTTGCCTGATAAAGGCAGCAGATACACAGTTAACATTAACAGCCTGCAAAAGCTTCAGCGCGTGACATGACTCGAGCACGTACTGAAGTATTTATGCCACAAACTCAATTTTTAAAATCAGATTTAGACCCTTCTGAATTTAAAGTGTCCATTTGTCAGTCACCGCTTATATTCGACGCCTTATACAGCAGTTAGCTCTAGATTAGTTTAGTTATGGTGGTAGTGTTGATTATTTTAGTATAACAGCACAAGGATTTTTCACTGTTCGTTTGAGATATAACGTTAGCCAGTTTGTTTCAGAGCGAGTTTCTCTCAGGATTGTTCCAGGAGAGGGGAATGTAAAACCCGGAGTGGAACCGGAGCCGGAGGGTAAATGTCTGTCGCTCCGTTCCACTGTCTTTAATCCGGTCGAATGCGTTTTCATTTAGCGTTGTCCACTTGTGATCTGATCGACCAAAAACGCATCTTAATACCAAGTGTAAACGGCCTTATTAGTCTGTGCGTTGCGTCTCGTTAATATTGCTTTAGCTAAGCGAAGAAGTAATATACTAAATGATACATTTCTGTTCAAAATCAGCATGAAACGAAAATGAAAATTCACCCTAGCTATTTTGAGATTACAAGTTATAGATATAAAGCTGCAGCCTTATCTAATATCATATTTTATACTAAATGTAAATGGTATCTACCTTTGTATGGCAAAATGCAGTCATCTGAATAGGAATATGCACAATCTGAAATTTCGAGGGGAAATATTTCGCATTGGATTCAAGTTTGGAAAACTTTGAACATGCAAATTACCGATATAAAGCTGATTAGGTTGGAAGTAATGCATTGCCACTTTATTGATAACGGACAATAGACCTTCTTTACCTGCTTAATTTTGCCTAAAGTTTGTGACCGCGCCTTGCGAATTATTTATCCATAATTCTATTAAAATTTTTTTTCAAAATCCAATCAATAGCCGATTGATAGAACCAAGTCCTCTTCTTTTCAATAATTTGTTACACTCGGATATATCTCACAATATGAAAGATCTGTTGCTGCTTTTGTTTCATCTTGATTTCCGATTACTCTTCTAAATAATTTGTAAAGTAACATTGTAAAAAAAATTATAGGAACTGTTCAGTGCAAATCAAAATTTTAGGTGCAAACATCTTGTCAACGTAACAGTAGTTAAGAAATGTAAGATAGCAATAATTTTTCTCTCATCTGCCAAGCGAGTAGTCCCGCCCCCAGAGTTACACCATTGGTTGAGCCAGTGTTGCTGTGTTGGGCTAATCAGGATGCTCAAACAAACAGAGCAATGTTTTGAAAGCACTACAGTGTTTACATTTTTCATGGGAATGAACTGTAATGGCTTACTTATAGTTGGCCGCACATTAACTTGAGAAAGTATTTTAAAATAAAAAGACCCACTTTAACTTTAATTAGCAACATTGTCCTTATCTGAACCATTGCATGCCATATATCCAGAGGGTATGTTCTGTTTGCCGTTCCTTCAGTCCTGCACACTCCAGGCTTTAAAAGGACATATTGTTTGGAGAACACTGTCTGTCACCAGACTCATGGGCATTAGTCAAGGTACTTCGGCCAATGAAATGAGAGAGGAAAAAAATATTGCATAAGCTTCCCGTACTCAGACAGGCTCATCGTTTTCCTTCTCAACAAATACTGTGACTGTCCTAATTTCTTAAAACTAAGACGGGTCTCGTGGATGGATTAAAACTCCTACCTTGGTAGCCTGAGGCTGAAGACATGCACAATATGACAGAGAATCCTGATCATGTTTTCTCAGTAAAAGCCCAAGCAGAATCCAGTCCTTTTCCCTGTGTTTGAATGATCCTAATCATGTGCCATAGTCCTGTTTAGACAAGCCTCACCCAACAAACATTTTGATTTTGCTTTGCTTGTTTCTCATTCAGAATACTTAAAACATGTCATACAGGCATAAACATATTCCTATAATGAGCAAAAAAAGTTATCCACTGCAGAGAAGCAGTATAGTTTAAAGGTTTAGGGTTTGATCACTGCCTAGATACATTTTCTAATATTAGACCGTTTGCTTGATTTGCCCCAGCTTCTCTGGTGATTCTTGAGCACATGGCCATATGCTGCCCAATAGGAATACAGGATTACCTTTTCCCTTCTGTAGCAACAGTGAGTTTCCTGCCTCGATTCATTAATTATTTTGTGCTCTGCCTTGGTCACAGTGTTTTGCAAACTGCTCTGCTCAGACTGAATAAAGGGGAGGAAAGGATGCGTACGAATCCGTCTGCCGCTGTCCTGCAGTTTAAGCTGTGTGCTTGACTGTAAAGATGAGGATTTCTCTCAGCAGAACTTTTAGCTTTAGCACTCAGACTCGGATTTGACTTTTTCGTTCAGGATTACGTTTTCCCTTCTGTAGCAACAGTGAGTTTCCTGCCTCGATTCATTAATTATTTTGTGCTCTGCCTTGGTCACAGTGTTTTGCAAACTGCTCTGCTCAGACTGAATAAAGGGGAGGAAAGGATGCGTACGAATCCGTCAGCCGCCGTCCTGCAGTTTAAGCAGTGTGCTTGACTGTAAAGATGAGGATTTGTCTCAGCAGAACTTTTAGTTTTAGCACTCAGACACAGAATGGACTTTTTCTTTTTTCTTGAATGAACTCCGTCGTATAGTTCAGTACATGAAATACTTTAGTTATAATGATGAAAAGGCGGAAAGGGGGATGACGTGTTTCAGAGGGGGTGTTTCGGTGGTGTGAGGATTGCGGGCTGTGGTTGGGTATGTCAGTGCCACGTGTCTGCGCTTGCACCTCTCTTCTCCACACAGAGGATGTTGGACTGAGACCCTAGTGCGCCTGGTCAAAGTGGGGTGAGTGTTGCCCTGTGATGCCTGCGAACACTTTGATGTTGTTTATTAGAATGCAATCTTTCCATGGGGTCGGCAATCCTGTAAAATGCCACTTTATTGGAATATGAGCATAAGCCCCTGGTTCGAAGGTGCGCATGCGCATGAAAAAAATTATACGTTTAGCCATTCCGTCATGTAAGTGATGCATATTGCAAATGTGCTTAATATCAACTGCGTACTGTAATAATTGGAATAATATGGACGTCATATTGGATTATTTTGAAACTTAAGTGACCTGTGCTCATTCAGGAATGCTATTCCCAAAAACAATTGTGAACATCTTTTTTTTTTTTTTTAGGCAGTTATCTTTTTGATTATTTGTTGAAGTTGAAATATTTGGTTGCTAACTGCGACATTAACGGCTTTGATATTTCTGGCTTTAATTGTTTCAAGGTAAGTAAGGTAAGGTTGTTCCTTGGGTTTTGTTTGCTTTAAGACTATGGAGTTTAAAAATTCACCTGGTCTTACGAATTACGAATCGTATGACGCATGTATGAGGTGCATCATGTTTAGTGCATTAATAAAAGTTTGATTTCAGTCAGATTGTTAAAAAAATTTGTATTTTTAAAATGTAAACACTTCAGTTCGACTAAAATTCTACCTGTTTTTGTGAAGTCGGATTAACAGACCTAAGTCTTTGTCCAGCATGTTTAATCGGACTACAATTGGCCTCGGCATTTTGCATTTTCTCTGAAAGACAGAGGTGACGCACAACGTTTATTTAATGCTTTGAATATTTTACTACGCATTCTGTCATGTATACTTCGACCGAGATGAAGGCTGTAACTGGACTATGCAAAGCCTTGCTGAAGCTCGACTGTTAAGTTGTTGTGATTATTTTATTGTTATTCTTTTTAGAAAGACTTTGTGTGAGTGTTTTACTCTTAATATATTTGTCTTTTTTTCCCATACAGTCATCATGTTACACTGGGAGGATCACATCTTGAGAGGGAATGTTGAGCAACCTGCTATAAGACGACACCAGCTGATTTGGCAAAATAAATCTGTGAAGGACTTCATTCTTTATTTCTTTTCCGGAGCCTGAATGAGCATGCTGCATTTCCTCTGTTCCATCATTTGGTTGAACCGTGGGTTCAAGTTGAGAAAAGTGGTCAGGTCTAAGCCGTTGCTACCGCGCATGCCTGTTTATGAGCTCCGGTCAGAAGTGCTTAGCTTTTAACCAAACGTCCCACGGTACAACATCATTCGCACCCTCGCAAAGTTTCATCCCCAGTCCGACGCTCTTCTGCCTGGGGTGACTGTCAGTTCATACTCTGAAAATGGCTGCCGATGGCTTCCAGTACAGATCTCTGTACTCCTACTCTAAGGACTGGGAGGATGACATTGACCTTGAGCCTGGTGATGTCCTGACGGTCGACAAAGCGTCTCTGCTGTCACTGGGCATCAAAGAGGGAGAGGAGGAGCACCCAGAATGCATCGACTGGATCTTGGGCTTTAACGAGCGAACCAAACAGAGGGGAGACTTTCCAGGGACGTACGTGCAGTATGTGGGACCTGTGCAAATGTCAGTGCCGTCCTGCCAGCCTCGTTCTCAGAGACCGCTTCCTGCTGTTCCCAGACCTGAGCCAACAGCCTCCTCGCAGGGTAAGACTGGCTGCTTTTACTGTGTTGATCAATGACTAACCTGCTTAATCTGTGCTAAAGAGCTGTCATAACCTGTTTTGTTTTGGGGACTGACTGCTAGCTTGTTGACTCAGGCCTCAGATCTCTCGTAATAAACATCTGTGAATTTTCTTACTTTTTTGGGGGGGGGGATGGAAAAGAAGGATTTTGCTTTTGATAGCAGTCTACTGCAATGCAATTCTGCAGTGAATCATCAGAGATTTTTCAAATTTAAGATCATTTTTTTGCCATTTACACACATTTAAGTTTTTTTTTTATTGCCATTAATGGTTCCATGAAGAATCTTTTCGTTCTTTATAATAAAATTTTTTTTATTTTAGGTTATTCATGTTCTTTAAACTAAAAAATTGATCTTTTAAGAACTGTTCACTTATGTTCTTTGGGGAAACTAAAATTGATTTTCTATAGCATTGCTGCGTAAACCTCTTCTGGAACCTTTAGTTTTACAAGTGTAGCATGATCATCTACGTGGATGCTACCTTGTACCCTCTTAGTTATCGAGTGTCTCCTTTCCCAAAATGTCTTTGCTCTGTTTCTCTGGCACTTTCCCCAAGCTCTTTCTCCTCCTTCTTTTATGCCCTCAGGAAGCAGTAAATTATAGTATGTTTGGAGGCCTGGCAGTTCACCAGGCAAATCTGGAGAGTTATATGTATCAGGTAGGGCTTTCAGCTTCATCTGCACATTCCCACTCCATCAGGTGATTTTTGCTTCAATGTCTTCTTTGTGTCCCTTTTTTGGACAGTTAAAAGTCTCCAGCACTGCAGTGCACACTAAAAAGAAGTTGTCATATTCAATCTGTGATGCTCGCTGACTAAAAAGAGAATGCAAGAGAAGTTTTGGTGTACTTTGAAATGTTGAATTACAGGAGCAGATACGGACAATTTAGATTCTGCTTTCAAGTTATATTCAGACCAAGGAAAATCTATGGAATTCTGTGTTGAGTATTTTAAAATACAAGAGGCAAGAAATGTGTAGAATTGTGAATGATGGGTATTCCCATTCTGTGGAAATCTGGAGTTTTGCAGGCACAGATTCCGGCTAGGCCTAGAAACATGAGCAGGTAAAATAATTGCTCATCAGTGTTGCTTTAGTGCCTTCTTTCTAAAAGTAAGTTGCTACTAGTTTAATTCGACTAACTAGCATATTTCTCTCTGCTTTTCTTATGTAGATGTAGGGATTTGACCTACATGCCTGAGACATTTGCCTGCTGCTTAAATGGATTTGCATTGTGAATGTAGCATTGAAAATATGAATGTAGAAATTATGCTTCATTATTAAGAATCTGGACATGTCATTTTAGATTAAAGCCCTATTCGGACGGGACTAGTTTTACAGGGGTTCGAGAAATTTGTGTTTCACAGACGTACTTGGTGATTTTAATCCCGTCCGAATCTGCCATGTCTGTGTTTTTCCTCACACAACCTCTGTAATAATTCCAGAGCAAATTACCTATTGTTTTTCAGCAAACTCAGTAGGGCTGGGATTTGACACAAATTTCACGATTCGATTCTCATTCACAAGCTTGTGATTCGATTCGATAACCAATTTGATTCTATTCGATTTAATATCGATTATTTTGGATATATATCAGGTACAGTACATGCCAAATTTTCTCAAGGAAAAAAATCTCTCAACTAATGCTGTAAAATATACATGAGAGTCAGTTGGTACTACATTACTATAATATTGAAGGTTAAAATGGACTGATTTGTTAAAATTACTCTTAATGAAGTTTTTAAAATAATAAAGTTACAATTACATAATAATATTTCTACTTCAATTTGTTTTTTTTAATAAACATAATTGTGGCTGTCATAAAAACTTTATGGATTTATTCAAACATAAATTAAACATTGAAGAACAGTAAAATTTAATAATGAATATGTTATATGGTGCATATATTTAGCAAAATGCCCCTCTCTACAGTTTATTTTTCTATCTGACTAATGAGTTTATGGTCACCGAATATGTTTTTCTGAGGTAAATGTGACATTATGTGACATTGTTTACAAGACGTTATATTGACGTCTTTGCACAGAGGAAACACTGATTGAGCGATTACATGAGACAGGATACGGATTGTAAAGTTGTACTCTTTCTTTTAACTTGCCTTCGGATGTTTAGTCATGTTTATTTTGTGCTGAAGCTGGTATTAATGTGGAGGAGATGATCACTTCATGTGCACCTCGCGCTGCCGCGTCTGTTGAACTGAGGCGCTACAGCGATCTGTCACTCCACATTAAACAGTGGCAAAACGGCATTTATTGTTTGAATACTGCAATACGGTGGACAGAATGAGACTTTGGAGACTTTGTTTCATATAAAAGTACCAAAGCACAATGCTTATTGCGATATATTGGATGGGTCAATGGTCCTCGATATCGTTCCGTAAAAAAGAGAATTGATTAATATCGAGATATCGATATTTTTTACCCAGCCCTAAAACTCCGTGATCCTCTGAGAAAACTAATCCCGTCCGAATGCGAATGTCTGTGATTGCCGGCGATATTTTTTTTCACAACGCGTTTCCTTGTGTGTTTTGGCCAACGTCAATTACCGTAGAGGCTCTTACTGCACGCGTGTTTGATATATTTGCCTCCCGGCAAAGAAATAATAAAAAATAGCAATAATAAAATCAAGAGCCAGATCACGTAAACTGTTAAGACTGGCTATTGTAATATCAGCGTCAGGTAAGTTCATACTCACGTTCATTTCTGCACTCAATTCAAGTGGCAACCTCCCGTTCTCTCTCGTGAAGCCAACACGGAAGTGACTTAAACTGTAATTCGTCAACTGGTCGCTAGAGGCTTGCTGCAAAAGGGAGTCAATCCCATAGACTCCCCATGTTAAAATGCCCAAATTTACAGCAGAAAAAAACATGTTTACAGCCTGGTTCAAAAAATTATTTTGGTCTATATAGCTAATTTTGCCCTTCATGACAACTGTGAGGG